TGAACCATCTATTGAATGCTATAGCTTTATTCATTGTTCATATTTGGTTTAGTGTATTTCTACTGGGCTGTGGCTTCACCCTTTATGGGACATCATTTTCAGGTACAGGTAGCATGCCACCTCCAAGGACATAGCTTGGGAGGCTAGAGGCAGACAGACTGCTTTGTTGTTTGCTTTCTTTTAATGTATTACATGTAAATTTAAGCCAAGGGCTTAATATGTATTGAGTTAGCACTCTTCTTTTTGTAACCAAGTGCTAACTTGGAAAGCTGTAAAGCCCGTAGGGATTTGCTTTTGTTGTTAACATGTAATACTTTTGTAAGGAACTACTCTGATGAATAGAAGAATATTTATCTTTTATACCAATGCATGTCTAAGTTGATGGGTTTTAATGTTATTATTTTGAGGGCGTTACAGACAGGGCTTTCTTTACAAAACGAATCGGGAAATTTTTTTACCGTATTTAGTTTGGGTGACGAAATATATATATTTTGAGACAAATTTATTTTGTCATAAAATTCCAAATTTGTTGTAGTATTCAAAAAGAAGTGTAATGAAATGAGGTAAATGGTCAAAAGAGGAGTGATGTGGGCAGAAGGGTAAGGGGAAAATAGGTGGTCATCGTTAAAGAAGGGGTGGCGGTAGATATTAGGGCTCTGATAGTTGTAATTAGGAGATGAGAGATTGAGGGTTAGTGGTGAGTGTATCCTATATGTCCAAGTCCATGTGAGTGTTTATGATATGTGGTTTAGATTTGATAGATATTTGAAAATTGATGATAGTCATCTGCTGTGTGAATTTCAAAATTAGAATTAATACTTACGTAGCAATAGTAAATAATATAGTCCCATGTCAACTTCAGAAAATTTCTTTCGTTAGGTAAGTTAATAGAGATGGATGGATGACTTTGATTGTAACTAATTTAGAAAAGAGGGAATTTTTTTAAGGTCCCTAATAATAACAATTTAGAGGATAAAGGACACCCAAAAAGATAGTCATGCATCAGGTCCCTGAAACAACTTGGCGCGCGTTTTTAATTATTTTGTGGACCAAAATACCCTTGCCAAAATCAACACAGAAACAAATTCATTCCGACGTCTGAGTTACATTACAAACATCCAGCATCTTCACGAACAGGAGAACAACAGAATTAGGGTTTCAACATTATCTGCACCATCGACATTAGAGCTTCGTTATCTTCTCCAAAAATCATTCCCATTCCTTCCTCACAAATTTGCACCATCGACATTAAAGCTTCGTTATCTTCTCAAAAAATCATTCCCATTCCTTCCTCATAAATTTCTCTGATCTAGGTTAAAACTTCGTTTTCACTGCTCATCATCATCTCAGTCCATCTTCGTCACGTCGCATCTTCATCTCGGGCCATATCAGCTCGTCATTTAAGTATCATCCTAACTCTGATCAGTTTTTCTACAATACAACTAGATTTTCTCTGGAAACACAGTTAATAGCATTTTATAATAACCTTCCATAAATTAGGGTTTCAATTTCGTAATAAAAAGCTACCTGAATTTGGAAAAAGTTATTTCTGTGTGTTTTGAACTTATTCTTCAACATGTTTGTGTGATTTTATCTGTAAATTTTTCTGGCATTTGAATTTCTCTGATTTTTTATTAATGTACGTTTCTTCTTTCAATTTTCTCTGGCATGTTTATTTTCAGAAAAACAATTTTTTGTGTTTTTATCTTATTCTTGAACATGTTTCTGTAATTTTGTCTATAAATTTTCCTGCTCCATAAAATTCTCTGTAATATGTATTTTTAATTGGAATGTCTATCTTAATCTGGAATGTCTATTGCTTTCTTGCCTGTCTTAAGTTTCTCTGGTATTTATAATTTTCTCTGACCACATCACATCACTTCCCTCCCTTGTGTGTCTCTATCATTTTTAATTTTCTCTGGAATTTTAATATTATGGACTGGAATGAATGTTTCTTCTTTGAATTTTCTCTGCCATATGTACTTTGAGAAAAAGTTATTTCTCTGAATTTTGATCTTATTCTTGAACATGTTTCTGTAATTTTGTCTATAAATTTTCCTGCTCCGTAAAATTCTCTGTAATATGTATTTTTAATTGGAATGTCTATCTTTCTCTAGAATGTCTATTACTCTCTTGCCTCTGTCTAAGTTTCTCTGGTATTTATAATTTTCTCTGACCACATCACACCACTTTCCTCCATTGAGTGTCTCTATCATGGTTAATTTTCTCTAGTTGTGTATGTAAATTTCTCTGGTATTTTAATATTATGAATTGAAATTTTCTCTGGAATGGAAATTTCCTCAAGAATGTGTAATTTTCTCCAGAATGTGCATTTTTCTCTGGTATGTTTATTTTGTTCAATTCTTGATTTCAATATGGTGTAATTCTCAGTGGCATGTTTACATTACTTTGTTTATTTTATCTTACTAATTGTGGAATGAAAAATTTTCTTTCACTTGCCATGTTTACTTTTTTCTATCATTCATTTTCTCTGGTATGTTTACTTCTATATGTAATTTTAACAATTATTGAAAATTTCTCTCCCATGTTTATGATGCTGTGTTGAT